ATGATTTATGAATTGCATGAGTGCCGGGAGGTTCCTTAAAATTTAGGTTCTTGTTGAATTCTCCCAAGGGTAATATTTCTCAAGGATGAGGGTATGAGTACTTGGTCGTCTTAAGCTCTTTATCTTCAGACTTAATTTTCTAGGAACGCTAGGAATTGCACGAACTAGGAATTAAGGTAGGCTTATTGCGCCAAGGGATTGGGTTCTAAGTAATTTAGTGAGTGACGTTAACATTAATGCATAAAGAGGAATTCTTATATACATGAGAGGGAACTTGGTGAAATCTAACCCCAACAACATATTCATCTCATATTAAACAACATCCGTTCATCTTTGTGTTACTCTACTATATATCAGTTTGCATTCATATTTAATTTTCTGTCTTTTCATTTTAAACCAATGATCTCGTTTCTTTTAAGTCTTAATTAATTGAGTTATCACACAATTGTTTAGTGCCGAGAGTCTTCTAGGATACAATACTTGGTCTTATCATTTTATATTACTTGTGCGATTTGGTACACTTGCCGATCCATCAACAAGTTTTTGGTTTAGTTTATGGAGATCAGAAATATTGTCAACAAATGGCAAGAAAGTAGAGCTAGTAAGTGTTAAAGTTGGTGAAAGTCAAATTAAGCCAGAAAAATTAGATGAAGAAAAGCATCCTAAAACAACTCTTTCCAAAGCAAAAACTGAAAATGCGAAAAAGCAAAAAAAAACCACAAGTAGACGAGGAAGTTGTGAAAAATTGTAAGGGCATGAAGACTAAGAAAAAAATTATGATTAAAATTTCCAAAAGTCAAGGAACTTTAGATTATACAAAGACGAAAAAACTTAGTATAGTCAGTTTGTAAAATTTCCACAATTAGTGTTTAATATAATATGATAGGTTGGATATTATCTCTTTGTTTTTTACTTGCAAAGTCATATCGATGAGGGGACGACGTATAGGGATGACAACGTTGTTTTTTGTTTATGCAGAAAAATCATACAAAGTGGTATAAGGGACCATGCCACTTCATATAATTTGCACATTTAATGTTTAACTAATGTGATAGATTTGATATTATCTTTTTGTTTTTTGTTTGCAAAGTCATATCTATAAGGGGATCATGTAACTTCATAACAACTTCTACTTTTGTTGTTTATGGAATGCGATTTACCGAAGTCTTTTTCTAAGTCTTTCGTCTTTGTTTCTCTTGTCCGACATAAAGAAGATAATTTAGCATATATTTCACAAAAAATTTGAAGAAAAAATTAAACATATTAAAATTCTTACTTTTTTTTATGGATGCATGAAGTGTTATATATATGGTTATAAACAGAGCTAAAGTCACAGTACCAATCTATTTCCAATATTGAGTGTGTTTGATCCATTACCTTGTTGTGATGATGAGGAATCCTCTTGCTATCAAATTCATGATGTTTATGTTGATGATGTTTATGGTGTGTTTGGTGACGGATGTTGTTTATGGTGAAAAGGAAGTAAGATGCATAGAGAGAGAGAGGGAAGCACTCCTCCGATTCAAGGCTGCCATTGTAGATCGCTATGGCATGCTCTCTTCTTGGACCACTCCCCACTGTTGTCAATGGCAGGGAATTCGCTGCTCCAACCTCACTGGACATATTCTAATGCTCGATCTGCATGGAGAAGTTCATGAAGAAATTTCTTTCGATTTTTACCTTGAATTTATGTCAGAACGTTTTATCAGCGGAGAGATCCACAAGTCGTTGATGGAGTTGTCACAATTACAGTATTTGAACCTCAGTTCTAATTCTTTCCCAGACAGCAATATTCCAGAGTTTCTTGGCTCTCTTAGCAACTTGAGATACCTCGATCTTTCATCGTGTGATTTTGACGGAAAAATTCCAACCCAAT